CACCATGCACTTTGCAATCTTTCACCATCAAATTCGTCTTTCTTCGCAAGAGCAACAAGGATCCGATGATGTCACGTGCAAGACGTGTCTGGCGTTCGGCCGTGACTCTTCCTTCGCATAAATATCCAGCTTTCGAGGACTCTCTCTAGTAGACGCCGTCGGTTCAACCAATGGTTCAACCTTGCTCTTTTGTACGTAGCTTGTGCCATTGTTTGGAGGGTGGATGCAGACGTTTGATGCAAGTTATATTAAGTCGTTTTAAAACACTGACAGCATTATTTACACGTTCCCTTTCTGACGACTCCGAGCAGGCATGTTCCTCAAATCCGGACGAAGGAAAACATCACGACGTCAAACATGACTGCAGCAAATTTGGTTCATTCTACGTTCGCTTTCAGGGTCACGACACAACCGCCATGGGCATAAGCTGGGCGCTGTTTCTGATAGGCCACAGCCCTGAGGCGCAGCAGAAAATACACGACGAACTGGATTCCATCTTCGGGGACGACACAGAGCGGCACGTCAACCACGAAGACATGAAAGAGATGCGCTATCTGGAATGCGTGATAAAGGTTACTGATCTTTTCGTTTCAACCAAACTCCTGGTCCGTGATCATAGTCCTCTAAGTGCCATGAAGTGTGCATAAAAGTTTATTTTTTTGTATACTTAGGAGTCACAACGAATCTACCCTTCTGTGCCATTCTACTCAAGGCTTTGTGAGGAACCTTTTGAACTCGGTGAGTTACCACATGATATTCAAGCAATACTGCCCCTAGTAAACAGGCAACGTTCGAGGTAGTTCAGAGGGGAAAAAAAACAGAGTGGAAAGGCTGCCGCCATCTATGAGCGACAGCGGCAACCAGGTATGGGGCTTGTTGCCGTCGCTCATAGATGGCGGCAGGTGTCCAGAGTTCGGAGTCTTCATTTTTTGCGGGAGACATGATCCTGGGGAAACTAGCCCTTAACAGCTCCGCTCTAAAAGAATAACATTTCAACCCTGGCAGCCTCTTTGTGGTCTTCTCGAACAAGGTTTCCAGATGTCTAGCTCGAAAAGTCTAACGAAACGCCTGCCATGTTTGAAGCGTTCGTCCTCTAAACTATCTTGGGCGCTTTGAAGTCTGTTCATATACTCGGGTAAATTACTTACAAAATGTAATTTAATTACAATTACAATTACTTCGCACCAAAAGTAGTTTAGCTACAATTAATTATTACTATGTGGAAAGTAATTCATTACAATTACAAATTACTTTTAAGAAGTAATGCAATTACTTCGTAATTACTCATTTTTCACAGCGGCCCTACTTGGGCCGTATAGCTTTAAACGAGTTGTTTACAATGCAGTGTATTTGTTCATTCCTCGTCCCGATGTTTTAGGAGGCTTAAGCATCCTTCTATGAGTGTTACGTATTGTACTTTCCTTTTGTGAATTTTGTTAAATTAATGATAAAACTTGACAGTTTGGAGTAACAAAGTCCTACATTATGATATTTTCAATAAATAATTAAAGTTTATTTACTCGAAGACGCCAGATCGCTAAAGTAAAATTGGGTTGACACACTTCTATTATCCAGCCAAATAAAAATGCAAAAAATTAGTCGTATCTGAATATTTGAAGTGTTAATGTAAAACTACATTCCACACGTGCTAATATGACCACATTAATGTACAAACGTTCCATGTTATTGGCAATTGTTTACATTGAGTCGAAATTATAATGGCTCAGAATAATATATAAGAACCGAATCGGGGCTCCCGAATCAATGGTGACAATATTCACAGCTCGGGGACAGTCTTCAATATGCTTGTGTAAATAAATCCGAAGTCAAACCAACAGCAAATAAACTTGAAAATACAAAAAAAATGGGACAGTACTGGAAGAGGAGTGTTAAAAAAAAACTGGCAAAACAAATACACATAACTTCATAGACAATTAAAATTGCCAACCTCGGCTGAAAGCCGAAGCTAGATTTTGTTTCTTTCGATATTTTGGCATGTTTAGACTATTGTTTTCTGCTTGCACCGCAGACGGCGCCACATGGCGCCGTTGAGGTAGACTCCAAAGCGGATTGTCTCTCAGCCCGTAGTGTAAGCAACAAATCAACAAACAGTGCGACGCTATTTCTATCTTGCGTGCGTGTATGTGGTTGTCTATGTGTGCGAGTGTGTCACCGAGCGCTAGGCCGCTTGCGCGACCGCTGAGGCTTTCAGAGAGGTTCCGTCGGCGCCGCAAAGTCTCGCGAAAGTAATTTTAATTGTGCCTGAAATTCTGCAATTACTGATCCTAGAAAGTAATTATATTACAATTACAATTCCTTTTAGCCAAAAGTAATTACTTACAATTAACAATTAAAAAGAAAGTAACTAAATTACAGTAATTCAATTACTGTATTTGAGCAATTACCCTTTTCATAACGGTGTCACTGCTGACAAACATCTCGTCATAAGCAGATCTTTTGGGTTTCAAATGGCTGTTGCAGTTTGCTTCTCAATAGGCTTCATGAGCATCTCCAGCATTGGAGCTATAAAATGCTATTTCCTCATTTGCAAAATATAGACGACCAAAGGAATGCTAAAAAATGCGGCAGTGATAATACACAACTACATCAAGTGCCACTGCCGAATAAATTGCCTTTTTTTTTACCCTAGAAATATTAAAAACTTACAGCGTCTAAATAAAGGCTGCATGATTCTTTTCTTTTTAGTTTTAGGTAAGACAGTTAGCACATAGGGCGATAAAGTAAGCGCTTGAACTACATCTGAAGTATTTTTTTTATAAACAACGTAGTATGAACAGTTTGTTAAAAAGTGCGGACATGAGATGTTCGTCTTTGTAAAGTTAAATTACAAGATTTTCACCACCGTGTGACTAAAGTCGCGAGTCTTAAAGTCTGTGTTTGATTCCGCCGGGTTCTTTAAGTCGATACTGCATTTTGGAGTACGTTGAACCTGTGTACTAATTTGTAAAACGCTTTCAATTCTCAAAAGGTGGCACGACGCTCCCCAAAGGAACAGTAGTTCAAGTGTCGAACTACTTTTTGCATCGGGATCCCAAAGTATTCCCAAAGCCTGAAGAGTTTTGCCCAGACAGGTTTCTTCCCGAGAATTCGAAGGGAAGGCATCCTTTCGCCTACGTCCCTTTCTCGGCAGGTCCCCGAAACTGCATCGGTAAGGTCGTTACTCTGTTCCGCGTCATGAGCGAACACTTCTCAAAATAATTTTCTGTTTTATTCACAGGTCAGAGGTTTGCGATGTCAGAGGAGAAAATAGTCATTGCCAACATTTTGCGGCGATACAAGCTTCAATCCCTTGACCAGAGAGATCAAGTCTGTTTAGTCGCCGAAATGGTTCTCAGGCCTAAAAATGGCCTCCGAATTAAGTTCATCCCCAGGTCGTCTCCGAAAAGGATTTGAATGGCTATCAGTGGGCAAACAAAATCATGATCACGGTTGATGCTTTATGTAGCTCAGTGTCACACTGTTAATATTAACCAAAAAAAAATCCTTTTTAGAGTGCAGCTCTTAGGCGACCATTTCCGGGTTGAGCGGTGTCGGCTTAACTGCGTGCATTGCATTATGGGACGTCACATTTTTACTGCGAAATTTAGCGGGGAAGCTGAATTTGTGTTGGAGCCATGCGACGACAGTTTTACCACTAAATTTAGCGGGGCAACCTAAATTTAGAGGGGATATTCACGCCACGTGACCTCAGCAACAATTCAGTTTCCCCGCTAAATTTAGTGGGGAAAATGACGTCACGACTTCCGTGTCACGTCAGCCATGAACAAATTCAGCGGCAGGAGGAGAAAAGAAGGGAAGGAGGAGGGGAGGAGGAGGAGTGAGAGAGGAGGAGAAGGGGAGATGGAGGAGGAGGAAGATGGGGGAAGGGAGTAGGAGAAGAGGAGGAGGGGGAGGGTGCGGAGGTGGAGGAGAAGTATACCCTCCCCCCCTCCTCTTTAAGAGCTGCGCTCTATACACGTTTGCAAGTCCGGTCTCAGGGCGCCGCCATCTTTCTCAGTGGGGTGCGCTCTCGGGAGCGGCCATAATCCGATTACGACGCCTTAGCAAGGCTTCGTAATCGGATTATGACTGGTCCAAGCGCACCCCAGACCGGCAAGATGGCAGCGCCCTGAAGCCGGACTTGCAAACGTGTATACTCTGTTTCACCTTATGATGTTCCGCAGGAAAGGCTACAAGCGCGAGCTCAATGCTCTGGGGCACATCTCGGCGGCAAAAGCTCTCGTGATTAAAGAGCGGCTGCCAACGCTATGAGCTCGCGCTTCTAGCCTTCGCTGCGGTACAACATAAGGTGAAACGATGTATAGTTTCGCATTAAGAATCTTCTAAATGTCTTTCTTTATTCTTTATTCTTTTTTTTTATTCTTTTCTTTGGGGGGCGGGGGGGGGGGGGGGGCAGACTAGAAAGTGTTTAAGCGATAGACGCAAAGAGCCTCTACTCTGTTGCTGCCACACTCGGAGGCACACACACTGCCAAGTGTGCAGGTGTAAATCGTCCATTGGTGACGCTGCAATTTTAGGAAGAAACAAAAATACAATGACGAGAGGAGTGCTCGAAACTTTTCACACTGTCACCAGCGCGTGAGGCGTCTCTAGCACTTTCATAAGAAACAGTGTTGTTTTCTTTTTTTTGGCTCGCGAGAGTGGGAGGTTTATCAGGTGGTGATGCGACGACTATGGGTGAGATAGGGCTAGGGGTTTGACACATGTCTGGACTGATAGACAATATAGTGCCTGTTTGGTTCATTCCTTTCTTTTTAGTCCTTTCTGTTTCGAGTAATAAAATTTAGTTGAGAGTCAGCGTTCGTCCTGTTTGCGCGTTTGCCCTGCTTCGTCCGTGTTTCTTTTTTTTTTTTAGCTGCATTACGCGTACACACTGGAGACTCGTTTAAATTGATATATATATATATATATATATATATATATATATATATATATATATATATATATATATATATATATATATATAAAGTGAGACGTACCGCTCGGCCTGCTTCTGCGGCGTGTTCTCGTTGACGCCGGTGATGCCGTTGCTGTATTCGAGCGCCTTCTGGCGCCAGTAGTGGTAGTCCCGATCCGACAGCCTCTGGCCCTTCATGGCGTCCATCATGATGATGAGGGGCGGCTGCTCCTGCGCAGGGATCGAAGGGGACTTCGTCTCACTCCAACCGCAGACAACGCTACGATTCGATTGGGCCAATCAAGCAGCGCCAAAAGTGCCTCGTCACGGCGTTCGTCACCTTTGTCAACTTGCTCACCGACTAAACTAGTCGCCGAAGCCTTCGCTGGTGCCGCTTCACTCTCAATGGCTGGCGTAAGCAGTCACGTAGTTCAGCGACAACCAATGGCGTTCTCGTCGGATGTCGCAGTATGCGTCTCGGTATACATAAACTATTGCGCCGAGTTTTGACGAACCAAGAAAGTAAAAATTAACGGGTTCTACGTATGACGATTTGGAATTTTTATATTTCATTTACGGGATACTGCAAGCCATTATTGTGGCCCAAGCGGGAGTGCATTTACTGTTTATACAGAACTAAGTATCAAAGGTTAAACGATGTAACACAAGACGGGAAAGAGAAGCAGCTAACCAAAGTGCAGCAGTATTCTCTTAAATGGCGTTTGAAGAGTCAGAGTTGATCGCGTTACAAACTTATAACTCCACTCTGTAGAGAAGATTTATCAAGACATTGTCACTGGTCAGCATCCTCCAGTTAAATGTTCGAAATGTCAGGCCACAACAGTGAACGAAGACACCATCTCTGTCTCGTCATCCCCTATTGTGATCTTGTGGATAAACGGCTCTACGTGCTCCCCAAGAAAGTTACGCTATACTAACGGACCTAAAACGACGCGCATCTCCAAAGTCTTTTACCTTCTGTACGAAGCGGCCTTGGCTGATAGCGTTTCTGGCCAGCCGAATCAGGGACGCAGTGCCGAGCCACAGGTAGGCGAACACGTTGAGGGGCGGTGGCAGACAGCGTCTCATGGCGAAATCCATGACCAGCTGATAGCGCTGGAACTTCCAGATAGCGTCCGACTCCGGTTCCAGGTCCGCCGCCGTGTTGCTGCAATCGCGAGCAAACTTCACAAAGTGCCGCGGTGTGCAGCTCGATCGTCTGCCTGTCAGTGTCACTTCAAGTAAAATTGGTGTTTTGAGCCGCAGCATATCTCGCGAAACAGTGACATGGGGCCGTGGTCGTGCAAGATGAGCATCGCGGGATGAGCAAAATGAGCACCAGCAAAGACCAAGAACATCTAAAAACACATTTTACATTTTTTATTTGGTTCGGTGCTATTTGCTATTTGGTGTCTCAGAGAAAGGGGACCGGTCTTTTACTAATAGACAATTTGCGAAATTTCTAAATGATGCATAGATTATGTGCGGCCGCAATATTAGTTGGACATGCACTGCGAGCACGCGCAGTGGACACGAGCGCTTCGTCAGCATTCGAAGCGTTCTCGGATCAAAACGCATTCCACACGAGTGCTGACGTCAGTGCTCGGCGCGAACTCGGAACCAATCACGGGCTTCCCGCTGGAAGCGATGAGACCAACTAATGGCGGCTGCGCATAATCTATGCATAATTTCGCAATTTCGGACGCGAGCTATAGGCCGCACTGCGTGGATCCACGAGTGATTACGCTTGCCTTTTAGGTGGCATTGCCTTTGCTCATAGCAAATTTAAACCACCGCTTCGCCGAACGCTCACTCAGTCTTCGCCGGAATGTAACGTTAGCTAAATCTAGCGCGGCAACCAAAGTTTCTGAATTAACCGTTATCCCACTTGAAATTTTTGAGCATAGGAAATTTTTCGAAATTTTCAATGAAAATGTGCCGGCCAACGAAGTCAACGGATACATGCAGGAAATGGATTTTGTCTGCCACCGCGAACGGGCCTCAGTTTCTCATTAAAAAATGTTTAGCCTTTCCACTTTGGTGAAGAAGGAAGACCAGCGAAGCTGTACTATGGTAGGAATCAGGTAATGGCTGGCCTCAAGTCGGCAAGCCAGAGTGGAAAGACTCGAAAGGTTTCGCCATCTATGAGAGACGGCGGCAAGCGGACAACCGGCAAACACAACACTCTGGACAGCTACCGCCATCTATGAGCGACTGCGGCAACCAGAGTTTTGTGTCGACACTTCTTCGCGGAGATGATCCTTGGGAAACTAGCCCTTAACAGCTCCGCTGTAAAACTTCCGATAACTCTTGAATCCGAAAAGCTCGGAGTACACTTAAGCACTTCTTATGAGTTGTGAATGCGAAAGCATGCAAGCCTCTCGTCCGCTCCCTTTTTCCCCTACGGCGTACTTTTCGTCGCCGATCGGCTCGCGTGCTCCCCTGGGCACGCTGACCTTGGACGCTCCGTGTTAAAGGGACCATGAAATGATTTTAAAATCGAATTTCATCCACCGCACGTCGTAAAAGGTGTGAAAAGGAACACAAAAACACAAGACTAGGGAGCCAAAAAAAATTATTTGCTATAGAACTTTTAAAAGAAAACTGGACTCTTTTGCGACTTCTTTCCTTCGAAAGCTCTGCCTTTTCACTACGATGCATACGCAGATACGGTGCACGTCAGCCGAATCCACATCGCCTATTGGGTAAGAGCCTACCTCACCAGCACTGCGATCGTAAACAATAAATAGCCGGCGAATGTTTCCTAAAAGTTTTGTTAAATAATATTCAGATCCACATTTTGTAGCATAATTAGAGATGTGTGGCGAAAATTGCCAAATTTGATAATGCTGAGAGCCAAGCGCCATCTATCGTGTGGTAAACGAAGCAACTACTGCGCGTGCGCAGTAGGGCAGGGCCAAGTTCAGAACGGTTATTTCCTTTGGTTTCCTTCCTCTCAAAACTCTGACTGACTGAACGTTTATTTTTCTACGTGTTCATCTCGCGCGTGCCGACTTCAAGCAGCAAGAAAGAAATGTACTTAAAACAAACCACGACGAACAAGAACGCTGGATCCACAAACACCCGAGAAGAGCGACAACAGCCGCGAATCCCGCTCCGACGAAGCTCTCAGAATATAGGCCTAGCAGGCACTCCGACTTGGCGCAGCGTTGCTTCGTCGAACATGGTTAAAATCGCGCACAAAGAGACGAGGACAAACGAGGAAGGAACACAGAACACAGACAGGCGGTTCTGTGTTCCTTCCTCGTTTGTCCTCGTCTCTTTGTGCGCGATTTTAACCATGTTCAACGTTTACCAACTCGCCCAACTTACTACTCTTCTACAGTTTGTTGCTTCGTCGCAAGACCGTCTGCCTACGACCGGCTGGCGTACTCAATGGAATATGCCCGCGCTACCCTTGTGGACCCTTCCGTATTATAGTTTGATCGCTGACCTCAATTTTAGGTTAAGAGGTGAGGTCAATCTCTTCCCCTTGTTTTCCGAGGCAGTGTTGACGAACACTCGTCGAAAAGGGACCCTCGTCGATCCTCTCCTTGTTTTGTGTGATATAGAGCTGAAATAAACGCTGTATGGATTACCTTCGTAGCACGGTATGTACACTTTGTTATTGGTATGCCATTTTTATTCTGACAGACTGCACGTCACTGTCGAGCTGTAACAGTTCGTGGGAGGTATACGTGCAATACCGGTCCAACCTTTCTTTGCCGAGTGTCGCGTCAGTATCGAGTTGCAATTGTAAAAGATCGGTCCCGAACCGCTTACCAACAGCGCGAATACAGCACTTCATCAAACGCGCGCGTCCGCTCCGAGTGTGAACAGGTATTTACGTGGCTCTTGCTGACAGTTCAAACGTATCTTTTTTAACGTCGGCTCGCTCCTGCATCTCCGAGACCGCGAAAAACGCCGCGGCAAATTGTTCCCATCTGCACTTCCCAACAGGCATACCGGCGTATGGGACTAGTCCCATGCTGTCGCTGTAGCGCAACGTATCTCATTGAATTTCGCTCAGCTATACACGTTTGCAAGTCCGGTCTTAGGGCTCCGCCATCTTCCTCAGTGGGGTGCGCTCTCGGGAGCGGCCATAATCCGATTACGACGCCTTAGCAAGGCTTCGTAATAGGATTATGACTGGTCCAAGCGCACCCCAGACAGGCAAGATGGCAGCGCCCTGAAGCCGGACTTGCAAACGTGTATACGATGCGGCGATGAGAGGCGCCGATTCAGAAAATACGTCGGTGACATCGGCGCAGTAAAACCCACCGGCGCACCCCAACTCGCTAACGCTCCCATCTCCTACTGCAGAGAGAACTTCCGGTTCCGGAAACATCGTACGTCACGGCTTGTTTTGCGGTCAAGAAAAAGTCGATATTTCATTAATTTTTTGTGTAGAAGTTAATAAACCGAGACGAAAACGGATGCCTGTTCGGCATTCAGTGAACATTGACGGTTTATTGTAAAAGTTATTTGGAAAAAGTAAAAAAGTCATTTCATGGTCCCTTTAACAGCGCGCTAATGGACACGCAGCGCCATGGGGTGAGCGGTCGTGGAAACTGACGATCGCAGCGGCCCAGTGGAACCGAAGGCGAAATCCATCAGCCTTACCTCGCTCCTTTCGGATCGAGGAAACTAGGTGCCGTTTTCGTGCTTCCAACTGATGACGTCACCTCGCTCCATGGGACAGTTAATGCTTTCGCATTAATAAGTTATGAAACATTGGCATCAGGTCCGGGCCCCGCTTTAGGATTACACTTGGGCGGAGACTGGGCGTTTGGCGATGCCTGGTTTATTTTGGTGCTGAGAATACGTCACGTTGGATACGTTGGATACGTTACGGCACCGACCTGAAGAGTGCGTAGAGCAGGGTGAGCAGGATGAGCTTGAGGTGGACGAAGTAGAGCACGGCGAAAATGTACGGCCACAAACCAGGGTTGGGACAGCTCTCGTCCGCGACTGCGAGCAGCGTCAAAAGGGGACGCGCACCTTCATAAGAACCTGCTTAAAATTGAATCGTTCAGAATGCAACCAAGAGTGAAAATTGTCTCGGGACCGTAATTGAAGCCGCTTACTTCTTCAGCGAGTAATAGGAGGCAAGCTCGATTGCTCACCAGTATCTTTTTCTTATGCACACCCAGGCAAGGAGTTAATAACTCGCGATCGAATCTGACTTTTTTCTGGTTTCATGGGTTTTATCTCGTGAAAGCTGTAGAAGCTGAACCACTTTTTTTGTACGAGAGGCACGTGAGCGCATCCTTGAACACACATAGCCGAGAAGTTGGACGAGTTAAGGGTGAAGTAGTCAACTCGTCGCGACTGTACTCATTTTTTGCAGGTGTTAATTGTTTGCGATATTTAACTGTCATTTACCTACTTAACAAGCTTTACAGCCATTTGTATCTCGATGGACGTTTTGTTAAAGAAACAGAATTTGGTAAATCTGTTCCATGTCTATCCTCGACGTGCATCTGTAGCGAAAAAGGAGCACTTCGCGGGCCCCGCTGAGCACGCTCTCGTTCGACGAAAACACTTTTAATTACCATGCACAATCTATTTCTACAACTCGGCCCCGTCATGTGCTACTTTTCACCCTGAGGCAAAATATGCACTTCTATAATAGAATCTGTCGTTATACGCAGATATGCACGCAAGCTATAGGATGTCCAGTTAAGACATTTGCTCAATGTACCTTTGCAAATCATCAGTCGCATCGCGAGACTCATTTTGATTCAAGAGCGATTCAACAACGAGCTTTTATTTCAAGACGTCGGCACCGAATAAAAACATGCTTCGGGATCGCTCAAGTGGGTCTTACGGTGCAAACATTAAACTCAAATATAGTGTGTGTTTTAAGGTGAAAGCCTTACTAGTCCCATTTCGCGAAAAAACGGCGTCGTTGTGCCCGAAAGATGGCCATAAAATTACGTCATCAAGCACGCGCCGCCCACGTTCACGCTCAAGTGCAAGAGCGTGATGTCACCGCCGGAGCGCCGTGTGCAAAACGTGCGCTTCGGATTTCATCTGTGCTCGTTCTGTGCTTCGTGCGATGGAATGTGAGGCGACAGCGTCTACATCTACGGCCCCGACATCGGCAGCAGCGTCCACATCCATGGCGGCTTCCGAAAGACAAACATGGCCGTAAATGACGTCCTCAATGACGTCCTCCTCGACATCATTCTAAACGCCATTCTTGACGTCGCCCTCGACGTCGTCCTTGACGTGGTCCTCGACGTCATCCTTGAAGTCGTCCTAGACGCCGTACTTGGCGTCGATCCCTAGTACGTCGTCCTAGACGTCTCGTCCTAGAGGTCGTCCTAGACGTCCTCCTAGACGCCATCCTTGACGTTGTCTTCGGTACGTGCACGGCAACACAGATGCTTCGTCACGGAAGCCGTAAGCATTTAATACGTGTAGAAACGTTACACGAAAACATTTCACCTGCGGGACTACAATGCTTTCGCCGTTTTACAAGTAAGCAGCCTTAAACGTCCTCCTGTAATTATTGTTTGTAGAAGTTTGCCTTGTGATATACGTAACCTGTCTAGGCACTTAAATAAATGCATTTCTTGGGGACTCAAGCGTCCTGTCAAGTGAGAGCAGAATACAAACATTTCGGGACATTGTTGCGAGCAAATATGTAAACCAGCAGCCAGGGATGGGCAGTATTTCAAATACAAGTATTTGAAATACGTATTTCAAATACTTTGCGTATTTTGCATTTGTATTTAATTACAAATTGGGTAATGTACTTGACGTGTGTATTTAAATACTAAAACGTGGGTATTTCAAATACAATTGTAATTAAATACAATTTTGTGGGCGAAAATACATCCCTCAAATTTATTGTCACTGTCCAGAGCAGCAAGAAAACCACGTTCTGCACCGAATGCAGTGTCTCTCAATCAAGCACCAGCGTTTAGTGGCTTTGTGATTACGGTGCTAGTCCAGGGCAAGAATAGTGACGAAATCGACGTTCACAGGCAAACTGGCTAAATAAGTGCCTCTGACAGCTTGTAATGCTTTCCAGCCTGATTTCCATCCATATTTTTGCCTGAACATTCTAAATGCGCGGGTCGTCCAGATTTTCGTAACTGGTGCGAGTTGCAACAATAAAAAAGTCTCTAGCTAGCGCTGCGCGTCTTGGTCGTCTCGGTTCTTTGTTGGTCTATACCAAAATGTAATCGACAAAAAAAGCTGCTTGAAGCTCTGTACTTTTTTTCACCTATTACGTCCAAGCTGATTACATTTTTTTTTTTTTGTGTGTGTGTGTGTGTGATTATATTTCTATTACGTTACTAGAGCCTCGCACACTAACTCCCGAGCGTGCGATGCAAAATTAAAATGAGATACCCAGAAACCCGTTGCAGGTGCCCTGAAGTCGCTGAAGCAAATTTTGAGGAATGTATTTGGAAAAGTATTTGGAGGAGACCAAATACATTTGGTTGTATTTGTATCTTGTACTTAAATGCTTTTTTAGAAATGTAATTAGATTTGTAATTAAATACATTTTGACAAAGTATTTTGTATTTGTATTTCGATGCATATTTGCATGTATTTTGCCCATCCCTGCCAGCAGCTATATTTACTGACAGCTTATGAACGCAGGGCGCGACTAATGGTTAATCTCATTCGCACACCACAGCCAATGAGATTGAGCCATTGGACAGTAATAACGCCGATGAACTAATGAGAAAGAAAGACGCGCGTACATAATAAGCCACGCTAGCTGCGTTTCTTAATTAAACCGTCACTGATTATAGTGAGGAATACTTCAAATATTAGAAGCTAAAAATATGTATTTAATTGTTTATGAGCGTAATTAATGGCCAGGGACTCACATCTGCTCAAGTAGCAGGCGTTTCTCTCTGGTTCGCTCTTGCTGTAGCATGCGGAGTTCCCTAAGAAGAAGAAAGATGCGTAAATTTCTTATTTTAAAATGTTCCTTTGACATCGATCGGTCGGGATGGCGCACAAAGACTAACTGAAACTCAAAAAATGTGCTCAAGCTCTCCTTTGAGTTTTCGAGGTTCCTTTTAACTTGGGTGAGTAGCAAGAGGAAACAATAATGATTAGGGTGCATGTGGCGGCTCAGAAACAAATCAGGCCCAAGTGTCGTAAACTTTGTCTTATCATCTTGAAATGTATACCTTCTGAGCTTCATTCTTTTTAATGTTTTATATAGGCTGGATTGTCCAGTAGCTGACTGATGTTTCATCCACAAAGGAAACAAAGGGATGACTTCATGCGATTCTTCCCGCTCGTGACGTTCTGGTTCCCCGAACGTCGGGTCATGGCGAAAGGGTACGTGGGGGACGGATCGCAAGTCGTTTGGGTCTGGGGAACAGCGTGCCCCTGGCCCGGACGCTAATCATTTCATTCCAAATGGCCCGTACGCAGGTTACGAAGGCCATTGTCAAATTATATTGTTCGGACATGACACCGACCAGTGTCACATTGCAGGCTTTATTTTTCTGTGAAAACGCCTTCCCAATTTCAGCATCCGGTTGAGCGGTACATGTTGTTTATTCTCCGCGTGCTTTGCAAGTGAGTAGGCACTTGGGCATCTTTTCGAAGACCCGTTACGACGCAGCTTCTACGAGGTGAGGTACTCTTACCTGTGCTGTTCATTACTCCGTTTCAACGTACTAACTTGGCAAATAACAATAGCTACAGCATCTACGAGCCAATCGGAACGTCGGAGCGAGGCACGTGACAACGGAGCGTCAAATGCTCTACTTCTCTGGAGAAGTGACACGTGCTTTGCATCTGCCGCTGTAATTTGCTATAGGGGCCGTGCACGCTTCTGCCCTTAGCTTAGAGGGGCTTTATCTTAGCCAAGCAAGCTGAAACGGAGTAGAAAATAATTTATAAATTGGAAGGGCAAAAGATTCAGTTGACAACCAGCCACTACCCAGGCGATAAGGTTGCATTTATCTCTCTCTAAGTTTACAAGCCTCTGTTTGTGATCTCGATGCTGAGGTGAATGTTTGTATGTTTATGTTGTCTATGCTTATGTTGTTTATGCATGTTTGTTTATGTTGATGTCGTTTACGTTTACTCGCTTATGTTGTGATATTTGTTTGGTTATGCTGCGAGATACATCATTTTAATAGATAAACGTCCACCGCCGCCACACAGTTAGCACGAGCACGACATTATCTTTTTCGCTTTTCACTTCGACAAGGCACTGACGAGCACCAAACTTTGACGCTTAGATTAATGCACTAAATTAGCATTTTCTTTCACGCCAAGTTTTTATGACATTCTCTTAATGCTAATAGAAAAAGAAAAACTTCCGGCTTTTCCACTCTGGTGAAGAAGACAAGCGAAGCTGTATTATGGTGGGAATGAAGTAATGGCCGGCCGCAAGTCTGCAATCCAGAGTGGAAAGACTGGAAAGGTTGCCGGCCATTCATGAGCTAAGGCGGCAACCAGACAACCGTCAAGCCGATTGTCTTGTTGCCGCCGTCGCTCATAGATGGCGATAGCTGTCCGGAGTGTTGTGTCGACATTTATTTGTCCACGGACACAAAACTGGAGAAACTAGCCTTTAACAGCTCCACTGTAACAAGAAAAAAACACATTGGTGTTTGTTTGTTGGCATTGTGTAGCGCTCTGTCGCTCCGTAGATTCATGGGAGCTCTCTGCGCGAGAAGAAAAGACGGCAGTGGTCATTGACTCGAAGAGTATATGTTCGGGCGCACCTTCGAGGTCGTCGATGGGCGTGAGGAAGAGCGAGAACCAGGCCTTGTGGAAGATCCTGCGGAACAGCTCCACGCTGATCGGGAAGTCCGGGTACAGGATGGCGTGGGTCACGATGCCCCCGCTGATGATCACCAGCAGCGCCATGCGCATGAAGTTGGCAAAGTCGCGCATCACCTGCGGGAGGGCCGACAAAGCAAGCTGGGTTCGTGCTATCTACGTTCGTGGTCTTGCTTCTCATTCAAATACATTAATAAATACCGTTCACACCTACATGAAAAACTGTGACATGTATGGTGTACACGTTCAAGTTATGGTCACCTGGCTATATGAAGTATTCGCGTGTCGTCATTAGCATGAGATGGGGGTAAATCAACGTATCGTCTGCAGTGGAAAAGTCTTGAAGATGTTAAAGGAATTCTGGTGAACGCTCGCCGCCGCCGCCGCCTGACAAAAGAACACACAACTATGGCAGTCAACGAATAGTCTCTACATCGATCTTCTACTTCCGCACAGCAACGTTGTGCTAATTTGCATCCTTTTTCATGTTGAAATCACAAGAGGATTGGTGGATTAAAAACCGTGAAGAGGGAAGGGTGACAAGGCGATCGTGATCGTTTTCTCTGCTGCGGAGCGCGTGCGCACCATGAGCTTGACGCGGTAGAGGAGGGGTCCCAGCTGGGGCGAGATGGGCAGGTAGATGAGCGTCTGCCGGTAGTAGAAGTAGAGCAGGCCCACGCAGATGAGCACCTTGCCGTTGTACGGGTCGCGGAACAGGCTGAGCCCGAGCAGCCGGGCCGCCGCGTACATCACGCCGAAGAAGATCGTCACGAACACCTCCACGCACTTGGAGATCAGCGGCACGTGCATGTTCGTCTGCGCCGCCAGAGGAAAAGCGTCGTTAAACATGTTTTGCCCCCCCCCCCCCCCCCCCCCCAAAAAATAATTTTAAGGCTATTGGTTTTTTTTTTTTTTTTTTTCAAAAATAAACTACCCATTACGGAACTCTCATTCTCCTCCCAAATGTAACGTTAGAGGTTACTTTATTCAATAGCTAAACGGGATTTTCTGGTATTTTTAATGGGGAAATGGCGGCCGAACGAGCTTTCCAGTGCATGCAGCTTTATGGCGCCAGTTACCAAAAACGGGCGAAAATGGGCTTCATTGTCCCATTAAAAGGTGCAGAAAATCACTTTTAACGCTTTCATATAGTTTATTCTTGCGGTTAGAAAAACACTAGTTTCTTTAAGGGGTACAGGCTGCACTTTAATTGTGCCTGACAAATTCGCCGTGCGTGGAATACGCCTCGGGTCCGGTATCGTAGGCACAAAAACTCGTACTGCAACTTCCGATGGCAATATGCACTGCATATATACAATCTGCGACGCAATTAACGCAAAAGTGACATCGACATTTTTTTTTTTATTCTTCTAAAATGTATTGGCGAGAACCAGATTCTATCACTGAGGTCAGCGCTCTGCACAAGCACTTTCCACCATACTAGTTTCCTTGATGACATTCCATTTAGTCTTAGAAGAAAAAAAAAACTATACGAAAACAACGATCGACTCTTCCCGCTAACATTGTTGAGCGTATACTCTTTTCGACACAATTAGCGCGAACATGACATCAAAACATTTTGGGATATTGCTCATCAACTGCACTAACGAACACCAAATTCTACCGCGTACATTGGTATCCACCATGAGTACATTACAGCCTGCTAATATGTTTAATGGCAGTTTCCTAGATGTAAGAAAAAAGAATGACCGTCGTTGGCTCGTTTTGGTGTTTACAGTGTCGCGCTTCTATACAACGACAAACGCCACGTCGGTGACACTTTACTCTATCGTAACGCTTTGTGTCTCGTTTTCCCGTGTCGCCCCCCTTTTGAGTTTGACGTTTTCACCAAGTTATCTTCACCCAAAGCTCATTCTACTTTAATAATAGCTGACCATACAGAAGTCACTTTTACAAATTCTCCGGCCGGCGAATTTACCAAGTTTTACTTCCCTTCCGCATAACGTAACGATTTTGCTTTTCAGATTCACGTTTTTGCTTTTGCCTACGTCTTCAATTTGCGATGTGGCGCTGAGCGTGGTAAAACATAAAACTCAGCGCCACAACGGATTTTTTTTTTTTTTTTTTTTTTTACAGCGGAGCTGTTAAGGGCTAGTTCCCCAGTATCGTGTCCGTCAGCAACAAATGATGACACCAAACTCTGGGCATCTACAGCCATCTATGAACGACGGCGGCAATCAGACAATATGCTTGCCGGTTGTCTGGTTGCCGCCGTCACTCAAAGATGGCGGCAACCTCTCCAGACTGCCCACTCTGGCTTACTGACTTGCGGTCAGCCATTACTTCATTCCCACCATAGTACAGCTTCGCTGGTCTTCCTTCTTCACCAGAGTGGAAAGGCTGAAAGATTTATTTTAAGGATTAAACATAAATTATTTTAGCCTTTTCATTGGTCGAGTTTTCTCCGCAGATTACAGCGATTGGTTCTCCCGCGTGCCTTGCGGGAAAGTAGACGCTCCAGGTTTCTTGGAGTGTGTAAGTTCAGAACCTACTTCCAATGGTCGAGGGCGTGCCATACGTACAAGGTGCAAGCGGTAGGTTCGGTCGATGGTCTCCATAGCGATGAGGAAGATCCAGAACACGGTGACGATGTCCAGGGTCATGTTCCCGCACGAAGGCCAGAGCACGGCCACGCTGAATGTGCCCAGAAACATCACGTAGAAGATCTGCACCGTCCACGAGAGACCGAATGGGTAGACAAACTTCATGTGGCGCTTATGGAGAGCAGCTGCTTCGTTTTGAATAGCCTTTTCAGCATCTCCGCAATCTCCGTCCTCCATAGATGCTTAAACGTGTCTGAGAAATGGGAACTTTTTCTACGCCTGATGTGCACCCTCGAGCCCGTTTCACATAGTGCGATTTCCTTAAAACCGCAGTGCGATTTCTGTCGTTCCAGAATTGCAACGACGTTCGTGCAGCAAAAAAAAAAAAGAAAAAGAAAAGAAGGCGACGTGAACGGCTGTTGAAACGCATGCTGTGTCCACGGGTTTTCTTTCTTTCTTTTTTAACACAAAATCAAAAATTGCAACACTTTTTTTTTCTTCACACAGCTGTTTTATGTGAAACGGCCTTCAGAATTTACGAGGTACAGCGTTCCTGTACTTTTTACAAAATGATTTGTCGACAGCAGTGCCAAATTCCGTGAACTTATTCCCCAAACGCAGAGTCTCGTCGAGCAAACAAAACATTTGTACGCAGGCTATAAACTTCTCGTTGGAGATCGCTTCAATAATCAAAAACAACCGCTGTCTTTTTTTTTTTTTTTTCTTTTTTTTTTATGCTGTGCTATGAAGACGTTCCTCTGAAGAATGATGGAGTCAAGAACAATGGGAAAAACAACCGGACTTTGGAGGAGCATCTGGTGCGGTGTCGAAACATCTTTTTTAAAAAAGAGCTTTCAAACGATAAAGTTCATCACAGACGGGGAGACGCCACCAATGCGCAATGCGGATGCACTTTTTTCAAGACGATGTTCGCAAATTCTGCGCAGTAGTCGTAACCGTCAGCTGCAAAACAGCGTTCTAGATATCTGTATTAGGTAGGATGCTCTCTATAGTGAAGTCGACGTATCAAACAAACCTTTATCATAACGCTATTGTGAATATCTAGTAGCAAAGGTAGAACGTTGCATGAACAAATAAAACTTTATTTATAGGTAGGAAAGATTAAATGTTGCATCATTATAAAAAAGGTCGTGTAGTAAAATACATTTGCAAAAAAGTAGTTTTCTTAGCTTGTGTCACTGCCACAGGTATGAAATCACAGGTTAGAGAAAGTACAGTTCTACAGTAAGTAATCTCTTTTGTGAACTAATAACCTCCTCTCGAGTAAACTAAGCGTACTCGAGAGGAGTTGTAACGCGGTATAAATCAACGTTTATCCGAGCCCGGCAACGCGCCACGGTGTTCCGGAGCGCGCCGCCGCACGACGATGGCACGGCACCTGGTACACCCAGAACTTGGTGATGGGAGCGTTCCACATGAGGTAGACCATCTTCCAGAGCGGAGGATTGAGCTGGATGAAGATGCCCTCTTGCGCTCCCGTGCCTACCGTGTCGTAGCGGTCGTACTTCCTGCGGAAGAAGCGGCGCGACCCTTCTGTGCGGTCGCTTCCTTTTACCCATACGATTTGCACTTCCGTGATATGTTCAGACGCAGTAAACATTTCCAGTTTGTAGCAATCTTTCTGGAGACCTTTTAAGGTCAGTTTCTGTTACCCTAGTGTACAATCAACGTTGTTGTTCTTTTTGTTGTTTTGTTGTTGTTGTTTTTTCTTGCGTGGCCAGTTGCTCTAGCGCGTGAAAACAGCTGGGAAAATTTAGTTAACACGACATAGTCAGTGACGACTTAAGAAATACAGGGGGTGGCGAATCCCGAGCATTTATTATCGCCCAGCAGCCAATGAAGTTGCGGCCTTAGTCAATAAGAACTCCGAACAGCAAATTACGATATAAGATTTGTGATTGTTAATAACTCACGCCCTGCAGCAAAGGCGGCGAAGCTTTCTATTGGTGTTTCAGTGATTCCCTTTCAATCGGCGCTTTACTGATTCGTGTTCAATCTGTGTCACGCACTCGATCGAGGTAGATAATGTAGCAAAAAAAAAAAAGTTATACAAGCTCGATCATACCGACAAAGATATGGTAAGCACGGAATGTGTGAGGTGCCTTCCAGGAGAGAAGAGAAGGGCGTCTGAACGGGCACTGCCTACCAAAGATACGCTCTCATTTCTGACACGCGACGTGCGATGGAGCAGCATGACAGGAAAAGTCGCGAAGCCTTGCCTTCGCGGCTAGACCTTCGCGCGCTGCGCAGATGAGTTCGCCTTTTGCGTGCTCCGACCACCGACCCCGGATAGCTTGGTCGGCAAAGCAGTTGGCTCCAGAGTCTCGAGTTCATATCCTGCCGGGGGACCGAAGTCGTTTACATGGTTCCCTATGGGGCCTTTGGGGCCGGTTTTACAGCGAAGCTGTTTATGGCTAGGGTTCCGTGGACTTTTCATGTGCATCAACAAAATCTCGCAACGCCCTCTCTTTGTCGTCGCTCCAAGCGCTTGCGTGCCTCGTTTGCTGCCGCTCTCCCGGGGTGGCGGCCCCGTCGCGCGTGTCTGCTTTCCGCCGGTTGCCTGTCCCGTCGCGCGTGTCAACGAGAATGTCAGCGGCGGCGGCGGGCTGCAAACGCGACCGATGAACATCGTGCACAAAGCGCCAAGCGCATGCGGCAAACCAGACAAGATGACGAACGTCGCGGAGCGGAGCACGCATCAAAAAGACGCAGGTATCATGCTGCTAAATTGGACAACTTTAATGGAGCATACGCTAGCTTCAAAAGGGACTTTCTGGGCAGACAGCTTGGGTGTAGTAGTAGGGTGTGTGATCGGCTGTGGTTCGACAACGACTTAACCACATCGGCAATGTACGGAATCCTGCAAAGCGGACTCGTGCGCTGCAAACGTTGTCGGTGACAACTTGCACTTGATCAATTACCACCGGTCAAGAAAATAAATGTGTTCGTGCCTTTGTTCAAAATTATGTGTCATGTCTGTGCCGTCTGCTGGTCATCCACCTTCAGAGTGCACAGGCCTTGCTATTTACGTAGTGGTAATTAAGCCGCAACCGATGACGAGCAAGCGCTCCAAAAAAGATAGATCCACGATTACTTACACGTTCTCGGTGACGTTTCTGGAGAAGCTGTAATCCTTCTCACATTCTTCGTCTGTGAAAAAGAAAAGAAGCAGATAATAGAGAGTTTTAGTAGATCGTTCCGATAACTCCGATAAAGGTACCCGATAACGATGCAAGGCATACGCAAACGCGTCGGCGGGGCATCGGGTGTCGTTATAGGCGGAGATACCAGAATGATTCACGAAAACTCTATACGCTCAGACTGATAACGGAGGGCGGTAGCTTTAGAGCTAAATTATCTCCGGTTAATGCAGACGCCTTGGGAAGATCATAAAACGAACGCTCGGTTGCTCTTTTATCGTCCTGATCTTGCAGTATCTAAGCTTGCCGTCAAAATAAGCGTCTTAATATGTTTGAACGGGAACTCGGTCTCGACTGCGCATCTTGCTTGTGTAGGGTGTGTAGGTGTCTGTTTGTGATTTTTATTATAATCTACCGCCTCGCAACCCAACTCGGATAAATCTGGCCAAATATGTTTTTCTAGTTTTATTACTTTTATTTTAAGTGAGAAAAAAAAAGTAGCTGCAGCAACCCAGCTGTTTGTTTCAAGTACGAGACGACAAGTGTGCGACGAAACGTCCAACGGTTCATCCGACGCGTCCGAAACATGGCCGAATTCGTCCAGCCACCGGCAACGATAGCGCCACCTGCGTTCCAGCCACCGGCGTTAAAGATGTGAAACGGAGTACAGCCGCAGTAATTTCCTTTCCTACAGTCATTAGAATGTTGACAAACCAAATGTGACGCCATCGAATATCGCATGAAGCTCCGTAAATATTTAGTTCCGTAACCGATATAATACATTTAAAGCGCAATAAACAACTTTTCTTCTTTTTTCTTTTTCGTTAGATCGTAGAGAAGTAGCGTGAACAAGTGCCGAACGAAGGGCTTAGACTGAACTCGCAAGACATTCAAGAAGTGACTGAATTTCAAAGGACCTAAAGACTTCGAGTAACACCGACGTCCCACGGGCCGGCTTTGGTAGCCCTAGCCGAGCTAGCACCGCAAACTCTCTTACCTCTAAAGTAGAGTTATGTGGACTTACCGTCTCCGTAATCCATTTGATGGGGATCACTCTTGAATCGCACCCAGAGGTACATAGGCAGGACCGTGAACGCACAGAGGATGATCTGAAGCAAAGTGCGCGCACACAATAACCTCAGACCTCGAGGTCACAAAAAGCACACTCGGAGCATACTAGCAAGCTCAGAACACAAGCAAAGCAACTTCAGAGCGTGAACAGACAAGAAAAAAAAAAAAAAAACACGCTGAGAAGGAGCGCACACACGAGATGCACACTCGAAGCACAAACTGAGCACATCTCAAAAGTGCGCTGAGAACATACTCAGGGCTTGTCAGAACACACAGAGAGCACAAACGTATACGCAATTTGCACGAGCAGAGCACGAACACACAGAATGCACAGGTGAAGAACAGCACACACGAAAAGCACACTCGAAGCAGAAGGCACACAAAAAGCAACCTCAACACCCCCTCCCCCCTCCCCCAAGGAAAAAGAAATACGCTCGCAGCACGCTCAAAATATATATTTGGAGCACAACTGGAGCACACCAAGAGCACAACTGGGATACAAGCGGAGCGCACTGGGAGCGCATGTAAAGCAGGCGGGTAAGCTTAAGGCATACGTATGCATGGGTACCTTGAGCCAGAGCGGGACGCTGAGCACCCCCCAGGTGATGTCGCGGACGCTGATCCGTCCGAGGAACTGGTTCGTGAGCCACTTCTGGCAGCACGGGTGCGCCAGGAAGGTGCGGTTCTCGGCCTCGGCCGCGATGTCCACGGCCGTCTTGTGCTTCCAGTCCACGCTCTGCACGCTCAGGATGTCGTACGCGCGGCACGTGGAGTCACGGTAGCACAGGTCCAGCACGCCCGTGGCCAGAGCCGCAAATTGCCTGCCGGGGGACAACAGATCTGTTTTGCGCCTCCAAGTGTCTTTCGAGAAAGCTAGCGTCGCGGAGGAGTAGATGATGAAACTGGTATTTAAGGAAAAGGACCGAAGAACGAGTGGGAAGGAGAAAATATTGGTGTATGTTCACACAACCTGAACTCAGTCTGCCTCAACGGGCGACTTGTCTGTCAGCTGTAGTTGAGTAATCTAACCAGTGCACTACAGCTGCTAGCCTGGGGTCTTTAACGTGCACCACGCAGTAGCGATACACGACCACATGCCGGTACGATGCTCATCCAGATCGAAACGGGCATGGGTGGGGATCGAACACAGGACCCCTGAATTCTACAGCGCGAGCTTTCGCTTTAAGTGGGAAGAAAGCAGCTATGCAGAGAATAAGTTCGTCTCCTTCTTGCGCAGGAGCGGCAGTGACGTCAGAAAGATGCCGAGCTCTGATTGGCTCTGACTGGAAGGATAGTGGGCAGACTTCAAAGCAAGCGGCCTCGAGGTCTACCCACTATTCTTTCAAGCGGAGCCAATCAGAGCTCAGCGTTGTTCTGACGTCACCAAAAGCTCTGCCAAGGAAGCAGACGAACTTGCGCTCCGCGTACTATGCGTCGCCGCTGCCGCCAGCGCGTCTCGTAACGTCTCACAACGAACGTGGCACTCGCAGGCGGCAACGCCTGGTCGGACGGGTTTGCCGCTTTTGGGGCGGCTCTCATTGAGTTTCAGCGTGGAGGCCGCTTGGGGTCGGGTCGTAGATCCACTAACGATGACGTCATGCGGGGCCTTGTCTTTAGGGTGGCATATTGTTCTAGCACGCCTTCGTTGCCTTCTGCCGTGCGTTGCCTACGAGTGCCGGCTCCCTGCCGTCATCATTTTGTCGGTGACCCTAGCTCTATTTTCCTTGTTTCGAGACTTTTCGCTCGGATAATATTATGTTTTCCGGGAGACTCCGGTTTCACCGTTTCATGCAGAACATCATTCTTGTGCGAGTCTGCATCCACAGCTTGATGAGGAGGCCAAAGATAATGCCAGGAGAGAAATATGTATTTATCCTATTTTCCGGTGTATCATTCGCGGTTTTCTTGTTTCAAAATTGCCATCGTGCGTCTTATACAATGGTGCAACTAAATGCGGTTGTTTCTTCTTTTTTTTTAAATCTAGATCTTAATTTCGCCAGTTTTCTGCGGGGGTTATATCTGTCGTTCGATTCGGTCGTGAGGATAATAAAAGTGGCTCCCGCTTGTCCATACATCGCGATCACAATATACATTATCAACGCAGGTACGCTGCTCCGAGCGGACACCCCCCCCCCCCCCCCCCCTCACACACACACACACATATATATATATATATATCGATCTCATCATTTTCGCCAAAATTAGATGGGCCCGGAGGGGGAGGGGGGGGGGGGGGGGTGACGATATAAGTTGACGATGTTTTTTCACCTAGCTACAATTCCTTTTCCACTTAACAACGCAAGGATCCCTGAATTCAATAAATCATTACTTATTCACAACAACCAAACAGTATCTTGATTTAGCATTGCGGAAACAAATGCAGTGATTTATCTTATTTTTTTTTCCTTTCTGTGAAGGGGTGGAATTTTTTATCGACACAAATTTTGGCCTTCTGGAAACCGCTAGCTCCTAGTAGTTCCTACACATATGCGCGCCGACCTCCTTCGCGCTTTTCATGACGAACCTACGGCTGGCTACATGGGAGTTTACAAAACACATGCACGACTCAAGCAAGGTTATTATTGGCCCAAGCTTTATGATACTGTTTTCAAATACGTACAAGCATGCTTGCAATGCAAACAACGAAAGCGCCCTACCAGTGGACCAGACGGATTACTGCGGCCGTTAGGTTGTCCCAATCTTCCATTCGAACGAGTTGGCATACACCTATTCGGCCCATTCTTACTAGCTTAACAAGAAAATCGTTGGATTGTTACTGCTGTCGATCACTTCGCCCGACACGATGAAACAGCTTTAGGTTCAAATGCTTCAGCTGAATATGTCACCACATTTTTTTTTCTGGCATCCTGTTACTCCATAGGGAACTAATAGTTATTATAAGTGACATAGGTCTTAAGCTCTTTTTCGAAACCGTTGAAGAAGTCTTCAAAGCGTGCAACGTCGTCCATCACACGACATCTCCCTATCAGGCTTTATGGCGATCCTCAAACCAACGGCTTGACTGATCGTTTCCATCAAACTCTCGCTGACATGATCGCGATGTACATTGCCACCGATCATTACAATTGGGTTGCCATTCTGGCCAAAAAAGGAGAAAAACCAGCACCACCAGTTTTTCTCCTTTTTTTGTATAGAAGAGAGGAAACTTGCACCATCGACATCAATTTTCCAAATACAACGACCAATAGCGACGAGTTGATCATGAACTATAGATGGCGCGCGGAGGTGTGTCGCCAGCTTTCTTAACTCCGGACTGCTAACCGACTGCTAACCAACTGCGTACCGCGAAGACTCATACGATATGGCACACTGCTTCAACCTACGCGCCTGGAGATGCAGTGTTGGTGTGGATGCCTACTAGAAAACAGGGATTCAAAGCTAATTTTCTACGTAAATATATAGTCCCTTGTCGTATAACCAGACAACTGACTTCCGTGACCTATTACGCGGTACCCCTTTTGCCGCCGCGTGATGGACGCTATAGGCATGACGAAATCATTCGTGTGAGCCGCCTCAAGACGTACGTCTCGCCTCAACCGCCCTCTCCCAAACAATGAAACCCACCTGCTTTTCATCACAGACAGGTTAACAACCACACCAAAGGTTCTGTCTTTCTTCGCACTGCACGCCCACCGACAACACTGTGGCATTATATTACCCCTCCACCCTTTTTCTCCTGCCAAAAGGGGTGGGTGGGAGAGGGAGGGGGGTATTGGCGTATTAACCTTCAGGTTCTTACGTCATCATCATCATCGCCAATATCGGATAAGGTCCGCGGGGGGCTCGGTCTCGCGCGCCAGCGCGGGACATTCAGATGCTTGAGGCTGGTAGTAAACGGTCCTACAAAGTACAACCGTCTGTTTTAGCCAAAATATCACATCAGAATACAGTGTGGCTTATACAAATGTACAACTTAAATACCTTTTTTTTTTTTACGAAAACGATTGTTTTAAGTGGGTACTACGTAAAGACACGAAAAGGCGGTTTGCATCTTTTCTTTTCTTGCTGTACTACAACTTCCGTCTGCTCTTGCCTGCTGGTGTCCAGAAGCTCTTGCTTGATGGTCCCCTCGTAGACGTACAGGGTGAGCTTCTCGTACGTCATGGAGATGAGCAGGGCAAGGTGCACGGGCTGGTCGCAGTTGCGCCACAGCACCTCGGCCGTCTTCCGCCGGTTCGAGAAGGCCGCCCACAGAGACAGCATCACCAGGGCCTTGCGTTCCGCCGAGGCGGCATCCTGTGCATGACACCGTACAATGAGCGAGATGGAATTTGCGAAAATTAGAAAGTTTCACCAGGTACTGCGTTAGTGTTTGCAAAGCCACATATTAGTATGGGAAACATTGTAGACAGTTTGTTTTGTTTTGTGTGTTTTTGTGTGCGACGCCAACCGATCCTACTGTAAACGCATAAAACAACCTTCTACGTGGAGGCTCCTAGTGCGAATTCACTTTTATAAAGCGAGTTTATGCAGGGAGTTCCCGAGAAACGAGAACCGTGTTTTTCGGCCAGGTAAATAAGAAATATGCATCGCAGAAAGATTAAACTTCGTGAGAATGTGACGCTAGCGGTTGGGATAAAACGCAAAAGTTGGACAGCATGACGTTACCCGGATAAAACATAATTGAGAAAATAAAACTTCTTGATGAGCCGACGTCCACCTAAGCCTAATATCGTCAAAACAGATCTCGTGATAGTGGACGCTCGTGGGATTTGTATCGGTGGAAAACACTTGTCAGCAAGAAAATAGATATTGTTTGCTTTCTTGTTGATAAGTTTCTTTTACTGAAATAGATGCTGAGGGCGCCCACAATGTCATCTCTCGTTTTGACAATATTAGGCTTAGGTGGACGTCGGTTAAAAAAAAAAAAAAATTCTTTCTCAATTATTTTTTATTTAATATTAGCTTGGCCGGCCAAAGCAACGTGTTGACCCTGGCAAGTCATATTGTTTGCAAGTTGAGCTGCAAGTCATGGAAACATATGTGGCAATAAGAAAAGCGAAGCTGCGAACACGATAACCATCGTCAAAACGACGGGGCACGGACACCATTGTCAAAACAACAAGGCCAAAAAAACACAAAAAACATTTGGAAGGGCCTTGCATCCACGTCTGCTAGTTCGAGAAGTTCCAGAGACAGATAACACAGTCGAATGAACTGGGCCAACGCGCGGAAATGGTCTCAAAACATCCGAAAGGAACTCTGCTTTTCCATGAGTGCTCATTCATCATTATGCTCTCCCGAATCTGTAGTACTTATACATCTTAGTGTGAATACAGTCACCAAAGTTAGTGGTAAATCGTGCATATCGTACACGGGTGGTATTACCAAGCGTCGTTATTCAAAGTACCCACCTGAATGTACATCCCCAGGGCGGTGTTCATGGAGAGCTCCTCCGGGTCGACGAAATCGCGCAGTCCCGTCGTGGTTTCAATCAGCCAGTTTAGGTCCACCTCAATGAAGTTCTTACCAATCTTCGACAGCTGCGATGCAAACGATTTGAGAGAGGATATTCTTGGCTTGGTTATAGAAGGAAAAACAACATTAAAATAATTTGAACGACTCTACAGAAATCTAGACTTAGACTATCGAACAATAGCATGCATCGGCCGTTTCAACCGGTCGTCTCTGGGATACCGTTCTCGTGGAGAAAAGTCGTGAGGATGTCTTTAGTCTTTATTTATTTGGCTCAGGAGAGCCGCGGAACCGCGGAAAGGCAGCAGCCCGTACCATGGAGGCCCGCGGTGCCACGTCTAATGAACATGATAATGTGA